TTGTAAACCGCCAGTGGTGTAGAATTATTGTACATATATTATGGAGAGAACCAAGATTCTATTTTAGAAATATAAAATTTATAAGAATATTACTTTTATCAATAAATGCAAAAGAACAAGCATTATTAATCCCTTTTAAAATTGTTCTTCCAACTTATCCAAAACCATTATTTGAATATACAAGTTACATTACATCTATTGACTTTTATTTATATATTGGAATCAGAAATTGGCTTTTTCATAATAGATATGAAAGAATTTCTGAGCTTGAATATGCCGTTAAATGTTCTTTGGTTGCGATGTTACTACGAACATGTAAGAAGCTTAAACATTTAAGCCTCGAGGGAACAATTTGTAATAGAATAATACTTGAAAATCTTTGTAGAAACACTACCGTTCTCTCTATGAAGTATGTTGTCTGTGGTGATTTTAAATCTAAAGCAATAGAAGCATTAGTAAAAATCATTTACAAGAATACTACTATGACTTCTTTATGTCTTAGTGGTAATCAACTTGGTTCTGAGAGTGGGAAAGCGTTAGCAAAAGCTCTATGTAAGAATAATACTTTGACTTCATTATACTTTACTGGTAATCAACTTGATTTTAAGGGTGGAAATGCGTTAGCAGAAGCTCTTTGCAAGAACTCTACCTTGACTTCTCTATATCTTGATTATAATAAACTTGGTTCTAGGGGTGGGAAAGCGTTTGCAGAAGCTCTTTGCAAGAATACTTCTCTGACTTCTTTAGACCTTAGTGGTAATCAACTTGGTCCTGAGTGTGGAAAAGCGTTAGCAGAAGCTCTTTGTAAGAACACTACTTTGACTTCTTTATTTCTTAGTGGCAATCAATTTTGTTCCGAGAGTGGAAAAATTTTAGCAGAAGCACTTTATAAGAATACTACTCTGACCTTATTAAATCTTAACTTTAATCAGCTTGGTTCTGAAGGCGGAAAAGCGTTAGCAAAAGTTCTTTGCAAGAACACTACACTGACTTCTTTGCACCTTAATGGTAATCAATTTGATTTTGATGTCGGAAAAGCATTAACAGAAGCTATTTACAAAAATACTACACTTACTTCTTTATACATTGGTCGTAATCAGCTTGGTTCTGAGAGTGGGAAAGTGTTAGCAGAAGCACTTTGCAAAAATACCACTCTGACCTCTTTAGATCTTAGTGATAATAAAATTGATTATGAAGGTGGAAAAGCATTGGCAAGAGCTCTTTGTAAGAACACTACTTTGACTTGTTTATATCTTAGAGACAATCAATTTAGTTTTGAAGAAAGGAAGGAGTTAACAGAAACTTTTTGCAAGAGCACTGCTTTGACTTTATATCTTCACGATAATCAGTTGTTCTGAGAAAGTGAACATCGGTAGAAGCTTTTTAAAAAATACTCCCAGATTTGTTTAGTCTAAAAATAAATAATTAGTTTAACTATATATCCTTTATAAGAACCATTCTGATTTATTTGAACATTGATGAAAATCAGCTTAATTAGAGGAAAAGAAGTCATTAAAAGATTCATTAGTGCTTGATGAATTAATCTTGTAATGATGTGATATTTCACACATAATTTATCTGACAAAACTTTAACAATTTGTGAAATTTTTGAAGAATCAAATTAACTACAGTAATAATAAAAGTATAGTTATCTAAATTTAAATACTTTATTTAAATTGTTGTTAAGTTTTACAATAACAGTCACAAGATTTTTCATACCAATTATAATAGTAAATTTTTTATATAAAACTAGCAGCCTGCATGTGCTTCGCTATCCTTATAAAAAAAATCTCGGAAAATTCTGAAATTATTCGATTTTTTGTTCGGAAAATCGACTCCGTTTCGAACATTTAAAGGATGTTTATTGGATGAATGCGTTCTTTATACGTTTTTTATCCGATAATTTTCAATCGAAAATTTTCTATTTTTTACACCCCGTACAAACGTCGTTATGAAAACAGTACAAACATAAACCCTGATCGGAAAATCGACTCCGTTCCGAACATTTTTTGGACAATGCCTACAATAACTGTACAAACTTTTTTTATAGGGTACGTGAATATTACTATGCAAATAAACTTGTTTAAGTATATAATAAATAAATTCCATTTTTCTATTCATACCTTCTACCCATGTAAAAAAATCATTAATCAATTATTACATATTATAGTTATATAAAACAAAACAATATATGTTCTTCATACAAATAATATCTTAATTAAAGTGTAAATCTAAATTCTTATATTACAATAATATAAGGTCTTTGCCTTGAAAATGACCTTAGAGACTATGTAGATTTTATGAATAAAAATTAAAATTTCTAGCTATCCAGTAATCCAATTCAAATAAACTTTTTTTTATTTTATAGAGCTTAGTTAGTTCTATAATATAAAAAAAAGTTATTTGAATTGGATTATTATATGGCAAGAAATTTTAATTTTTATTCATAAAATCTACATAGTCCCGTAAGGTCATTTTCAAGGCAAAGACCCCATATTGTTATTTACATATAAGAAGTCACAAATAGCAATATAAGAGGCATAAATAACCATATTATCCTTGGTTTTTGTACAACGAAACAGAATATCTAGAAAAATAAGAATTTAAAAATTAAAAATTTTTTTCTATTACATAACTAGCCCCAAACAATAAAATTAACATTTTATACATTCGTACCTCCATATAATCACCTAATTTGCCTAGAACTTTTTGTTGATTATATAGATGGTGAAATATAATTACTTCTATATAAACATAATGTAAAATATAATATATAAATATTTTACTATTATATATAATATTTTACTTATAGAACTAAGTAGACAAGATTATGTTGAAGAAGCACAGGACGACAACTATGAAGATTTAAAATTCTTGAAGAAATTCTTTTAACAACCGATCAAACAAAAATTATAGAAATTTGGATACCCTTGCAAATATTTTATAAAATTTTATAGTGTTTGTCTAAGGCTTACTAACACATAAAGCTAAATATCTCTACCAGATTTTAGAACAACAATTACTAATTAGACTCTATACAAATTTTATCTAGAACAGAATATATGTCAAATATCTTAGATTTTAATTTAGTATATATTAAACAACTTTGTAGTGATGAGATTTTTATATCTAAGCTTTGATAAACCAACTTCAATCATATAAAATATGAGTGAGCTCAAAGTATCATGCGTAAAATAATTGATTTAGCATTGGATATTAATTCCTATAAAGAGGTAATTGTAATTTGTCAAGAGTTTATATTTAATAAATAACAAAAATTGAATCATAAAGAGCAGGGTAATCTGATCCAACTATTTAAAATCCAATAATTGCAACAAGAAAGTGCAGACCTGCCGAGCAAATTAAAAATTCTATAAAATTTAAGACAACAATTAAACCAAGCTGATATATTGCAATTGATAAAATCAAGTTTGACACTTAGATGGTTTATACGAAATTCACCCAGTGACGGTTTACGATGCGCTAAATAAGCTTTCAGGATTTTGAAATTTTAAATATACTGTAATATGTTATAAACCAATTCTGATAACTAATAAAGCTAAAGTTCGAAAAAAAAAACAATAGTCAGAATCTTACCTTTATGTAGATTATATACGTTCAAGTCTAAGTTCGGTAAAATTCAACTATAAAATTTCATTGATGATAATCAGACTTGGGATGAATTGTCCGAGCCACTATATTTATAGGGAAATGCTATTCGTACCCCAAATTTGCTATTCATACAGTACCCACATGCAAATTAACGTTCTTTTTGAGCTTTGAGCGAAGATAACTCGACAGTCACCAAGTCAAATTCGATAATTTTTTTATTTAAATCCTATGCATTAGTAGAATTCAAATAAAAAAAAAAAGCCCATTGAAATTTACCTGGTGGTTGCTGAGATATCTTCGCTCAAAGTCTTAAAAAACTCAAAACGTCTATCAAACCTAATTTTTTTATTCTTTGAGCGAAGATATATCGACACTCACCAAGCCAAAATCAATGAACTTTTTTTTATCTGAATTCTAAGAATCTGTAGAATTCAAATAAAAAAAAAACGGGTATTGAATTTGGCTTGGTGATTGTCAAGATATCTTCGTTAGAAGTTTTTAAAAACTCAACACCTATAAATAGAAGCTGTGCCAAATTTTTTTATTTTTGAGCGATGATATCTCAGTAACTATCAAGCCAAATTTGATGAACTTTTTTTTTATTTGAATTCTACGAATCTGCAGGATTCAAATAAAAAAAAAAAAAACTTCATCGAATTTGACCCAGTGGTTGTTAAGATACCTTCGCTCAAACATTGGGAAAAGTTTGCACAACTTTTACTTTTATAGGAGTTGAAATTTGAACGAAGATAACTTGACAATCACCAAGCCAAAATTCAATAAACTTTTTTATTTGAATTCTACAGATTCTTAGAATTCAGATAAAAAAAGTTCATCGAATTTAGTTTGGTGAGCGTCGAAATATCTTCGCACAAATAATAAAATAATTGAGTTTTGATAGACGGTTTGAGTTTTTTAAGGCTTTGAGCGAGGTATCTCAGCAACCACCAGGCAAATTTCAATGAGATTTTTTTTTATTTGAATTCTCCTAATGATAGAATTCAAATAAAAAAGTTTATCGAATTTGACTCGGTGGTTGTCGAGATATCTTCGCTCAAAGTTCAAAAAAAAAACTTAATTTATATGGGCATGAATAGCAAATTTGGGGTACGAATAGCAATTCCCTATTTATAAAGTACTATCTTTAGTAAAAATTTTAAAAAGTTAAGAGGGTGGGATAGTTATAATTCCTACTGTATCAATTTAACGTAAGTATGGTGTTTGAAGTTATATACTATTTTATTTATCGTATGAGCAATTCTTTAAATTTGATTCTATTGTATAAACTTTGAATTACAAAACTTGTGCAGAATGTAAAATTATATATGTAAATAAGAAAAAATATGGCACTGAGCACATTGTGCACATTGATTTTATACACTGATTATATGTATAATGTGTAATCGTGTCAGATGAAATCGGTTATAATTAAAATTGGTGGACTATTTGATCCCAAACGCTAATATGTATGGTTTAAAATGTAATCTTGTTAAAAAAAATATACGTATATTTCGGCCAAATTTCCTAATACAATATAAAAAGTCCGTTTCAATGGAAATAAATAGCCAATAAAAATGACTTGTCATACTGAAGTGCATAACATTACGTTTTTGCCCTACCCACATGCATTATAAGATTTCTCCATACGCTTCGTGATACGTATTATTTCATTCCTGGTTTAAATCTCGTTGGACCATTTATTAATACGTAAAGCATCTTTTAAACACGAATAAACTTTCAAGAAAGAAAAAACTTGAATTGGTTTTACTATACAGCAAACAATCGACTTTATAAAGTAGGAAAGAAATTGTATTAAGATTATTACATTTCTACCTTTCTTTTATGTGTAAATTACCAGTATGTAAGTATAGAGTTCATTCTAAAAAGGCTCTGCACATATTCGTCGTCAACACAGTACACTAGTAGAGTTCTTCATTAAATATTATTTTTTTATTCTTTCTCTTATGTGTTAAATTACCAGGGCGTAAGTATATTCTTAAAAGATCTACACATAACATCGGAGTCAATACAGTACACTTATAGAGTTCATTAATCATTACTTTTCTATTTTTTTCTCTTACGTGTTAAATTACCAGAAAGTAAGTACAGAGTTTATTCTTAAAAAGACATCGCATCGGAGTCAATACAGTACACGAGTAGAGTTATTCATCAATTATTACTTTTCTATTTTTTCTCTTACGTGAAATTACCAGTTTGTAAGTATAGGGATTATTCTTAAAAGATCTACACATAACATCGGAGTCAATACAGTAAGCTAGTAGAGTTCTTCATTAATAATTACTTTTCTATTTTTTCTCTTACGTGAAATTACCAGTTTGTAAGTATAGAGATTATTCTTAAAAAGATCTACACATAACATCGGAATCAATACAGTAGTTCTTCATTAATTATTACTTTCTATTCTTTCTCTACCAGCGAGTAAGTATAAAGTTTATTCTTAAAAAGATCTACACATAACATCGTAGTCAATACAGTACACTAGTAGAATTATTCATTAATTATTACTTTCTATTACGTGTTAAATTACCAGCGAGTAAGTATAAAGTTCATTCTTAAAAAGATTTACATATAACATTGTAGTCAATACAGTACACTAGTAGAGTTCTTCATTAATTATTACTTTCTATTCTTTCTCTACCAGCGAGTAAGTATAAAGTTTATTTTTAAAAAGATCTACACATAACATCGGAGTCAATACAGTACACTACTAGAGTTCTTCATTAATTATTACTTTTCTATTCTTTCTCTTACGTGTCAAATTACCAGCGAGTAAGTATAAAGTTTATTCTTAAAAAGATTTACATATAACATTGTAGTCAATACAGTAGACTAGTAGAGTTCTTCATTAATTATTACATTTCTATTTTTCTCTTACGTGTTAAATTACTAGTTTGTAAGTATAGAGATTATTCTTAAAAATATCTACACATAACATCGGAGTCAATACAGTAAACTAGTAGAGTTCTTCATTAATTATTACTTTTATATTTTTTCTCTTACATGTTAAATTACCAGTTTGTGAGTATAGAGATTATTCTTAAAAAGATCTACACATAACATCGCATCGGAGTCAATACAGTAAACTATTAGAGTTCTTCATTAATTATTATTACTTTTCTATTCTTTCTCTTATGTATATGATAAACTATCTAGACGGTAAATACAGAGTTTATTCTTAAAAGATCTACACATAACATCGGAGTCAATACAGTACATTAGTAGAGTTCTTCATTAATTATTACTTTTCTATTCTTTCGCTTACGTGTTAAATTACCAGAAAGTAAGTATAGAGATTATTCTTAAAAAGATCTACATATAACATCGGAGTCAATACAGTACACTAGTAGAGTTCTTCATTATTTATTACTTTTCTATTCTTTCTCTTACGTGTTAAATTACCAGAAAGTAAGTATAGAGCTATTCTTAAAAATATCACACTAACATAGTAGTCAATACAGTACGCTAGTAGAGTTCTCGATATATTGTTAACAAAACAATGTAAAATATTAGTGAAGAAAATAGATATCGAGAAAAAACAAAAGAAAATACTGATCAGGAAAAAAACAAGAAAAATATTGAAAAAACTTTTCAATTCAATTTATATGATTACATTAATGTGAATGAGTCAAAAAAAGCTCCTAGTCTGACCAAAAATGAGGTTATTCTTAAAGAAAATATTGTACAATTTTACAAATTAAACTATGGCTTCGTTATTAACTCGCAAGAAAAATATACCGCAGCAAATCGAGCATTTAATTTTGAACCAAAAATTAAACCAAATATTGAAAGATGTCTTATTAAATTAACGTCACCAAAAGATAAAAGGGAATTATTCTTATTGAATAACTGCATTGATGTTTCTTCTTTCCAGTCTTTACCACCAAAATTAGTCAATATTATGGCGCAATCAAAAAACCTTCTCAATTACAATCGATCTTTTAATAATTTTTATTTTGAAGCTGATTTTCCACTGGTTGAATTGAATTTTGAAAGAGAAACCATTAAACTAACAAAGGAAATAAATATATTAGTAGATAATGCTTTAAATAACGAGAGACCGTATCAGGAATTAATTAGAGTATTTAATACATTTGGTTATTTATTGTCTCTAAAAATTATCCTTGGCCAAAAATTACGCAGATCATGTATTTTACAGAAGAAATTAGACCTTCTCGATCAAAAGATAGAATTTAAGGAAAATTATTCATCAGAACTAGATAAGCTTTTTATTTTATGGAAAGATCAGTATGGGTTCGATGAAAAATACTTAATGTCAATAAATGGAAAAGTTGTTAAAATAAATGACATTGAAAAGTGGTTAAATGAACATTTGAAACAAGATTTTAAATTATTACAAATAATTAGTCAAAGTGAATTCGTTCCATTATATGAATTTTTTGAGGAACCAATTAGGGGCAACATCAAATCAATTCTAGGAATAGATAATCTTCCAAAAATTCTTATGACGGGAGTCGTGCAAATTATTAAGAATATCAATTATTATAATGTAGACTTTCCTCATTTGGAAAGCAGCAATTATCATATTTTTGCAAAAGTAACTAAATCAAATAAGTATTCTTTTGATGTTATTGATGAAGCTATTGTAAAAATACGATCTAGTAATAGGACTGGCTTTTTAGCAATAATTGAAAAGTTCGATGGGATCAAGTAAGTAAAAATGAAACATTATTTGAACAACGTACGATAAACAACATTATTTATTTTTTTACCTTTAATAGTGATAAAAATACGGAAAATTTACAAATTATGTGGATGTTAATTGGATTTCCAGATGAAGTTAACTTCTACAGTCCGCACACACGAAGTTTATCTATACTAAGTATGGAAATTCAAGATGTTGATAATGAAAAAACAAGCGTATTAATAAATGTTCCAGAAAATTTGCCAGAAAACTCCAGAATAGTTTTATCATTTGAGTATCCCTTGTCGAGTGATTATTCGAGAACTCAGGATGGCAAAATTAAATTAAAAATAGATTACAATACAAATGATAATTATGATAGTGCCTATTCTGGGGGTTCAAGACCTGATAGCGAATCTGAAATTGATACATATGAAAATAGATCTGAAATCAACAAAGTTGAAAGCAGATCTGAAGACGATGGTGTTGAAAGTAGATCCGAAGATGACGGAGTTGAAATTGGATCTGAAGATTATGATGCTGATGAAAGTGGATCTGAAGACGATGGAATTGAAAGTAGATCTGAAAGCGATGAATTTGAAGATGGTGCTGAAATTGTATATGAAAGCGATAGTGATGAAAGTGAATACTCGAATATCGATACTGAATATAAGATTAAGAATTCTCTTTACTCGTATATTTTTATTTTTGATCAAGAATTTATAAAAGCTGATGTATCAACTAGTAAATGTAAAAATATTTATTTGAAAGCGATTGGTTCATTAATTAATTAAATAGAATTTATCAATTATATTACAATATTTAAAATTACTCGACTTGACTATTTAGTTACGTGAAAACTTATAGGCCAAAATCATCTATTGTGCTTTCCTAAATTTTATACAGTATGAAATACGTATTATAAACCTGTGCTTAGAATTTATAGAAAACATATTAATATTATGTTACCGTTTCTTTGTCAAATACCTTTTATATGACAACCAATTCCATTGCAGTTTAAAACTAACGCTATACATTATTAGGCTACAATATTTTTATCTAGTTTATGGATGGGTTTTGGGCATTTTTTGTACTTTACTGGTTTATATGAATTCTACCGATTTATTAAACGAAAATTCAAACATCAATAAAAATATGAATATTACATGACTGTAGGGATGGAAAATGGTTTAAACCGGAATTTTTAAACCATGTTTGTTTGATTTAAAACTGTTTTTAAATGATTTAATACATTCTGACGTAATCTTAATACGTAACAATGGGATAGTATTTAGTTATTAACTAATTCGTCAAATACATTATCGTTATCTCTTCTCTTTTTATAATATAAAATCATAAACAATCATGTTCCGTGGAAGGCCTCCATTAAAAGAAATTCGCTTGAACTTTACAAAAGTTATAGAAACTGCGCCTCGCCAAAAGTGTAACTACTGTAGAGAGGACTTCGTGGATTTAGTCGCTTGATTAAAGGATCACTTATATAGATGCAAAAAGCTTCCAGAAAGTATGAAAAATTTATTAAATAATGAACGGGTAAAAAAACTTGTTGCAGTCTATCAGAATTTAGGAATTTTAAAAGGAACTGAGATTGATGGTTGGTTCGAAGATAACGATAAGTACTTGTTATTGATCATGTTATTGATGATAACTGATTATTCACTAGGACAATGTGCCTATGACGTGACCGAAGGGCACGTCATAACACGGTGTCTACTGTGAAGAAATCAGCGATTATCATTAATAACATGATCAATAACTACATTATTGTACATTTCTGACGTAGCACCTAGCCATTTTCTGCATCTTATTGGGTCATTTTTATACGTGATATACAAATTTTGTTCACCTCCGATAGGAGGTGAACAAAGTTAGTGTATCATGTATTAGAATTGACCCAATAACATGCATGAAAATGGCTAGGTACTCACATAAGAAGTGTACAATAATTAAATTTATAGTTATGCATATTAAAAGAAACGTCAAAAAAAAAAAAAAGAAAAGAAAAATTATATAAATATTTAAACAATTGCGCAGTTCTTGTAATTATATAATAAGCAAAGTTTATAAAGTGAATATTTTTCTTTAAAGATATCTCTATGAAATTAAATTTTACATACGTACATGGATTCGAAATAAAAAATCCACAACAGCTGTAATCCATATATCTCTAGGTCACTATCCTTTAATCTGCATCAGGAAATTTTGAAACCTAATTATAATCGATTATAAGCAGTTATAGCGCTTTGCAAAAAGATGTGAACATGTGATTTTAGTGATGATGATGGCTGAGAATTACTAAGATTCCAGATTTTCTGTTACTTTATATTTTCGATTGGTTACGTTTATATTTCTTTGAAATCAGTTTAATTCTTAAAATCTCAAAAAATCTATAAAATCTCCGATTCTCACATGAAAAAATGATCTACAGTGTTCACATCTTTTTGCAAAGCGCAATAATCGATTATAATCGATTGATTTATAGCGCTTTGCAAAAAAAATTTGACCCATGATTTTTGTGATTATGAATGAGGAAAATTTCTAAGATTCTAAATTGTCTATTTATTTGAAATTGGTAAGATTCTTAAAATCTACTGAATCTCTGATTCACACGACATTGTGACCTGCAGAGGTCACATCTTTTTGCAAAGCACAATAACCGATTGCTATCGCCAGGGATGTTGATAATCGTTTTTTTTTTTTTACAGAAATAGAATTGTAGATTCATTATTTTATAACATTTGATTTAGTATCTTTTGTAGGAATATAATTGCACATTCATAATGTTGTAAAGAATTTGATTTAGGGATTGGAACCGCCTAAAAATTTTCTTAACAGTTAACCGTTTAATTCAGCCGGTATTAAAATTGTCCTGGCCCATGATCAACATAATTCGGCTCGGCACTATAAAAAAATTTTTATGGGGTTAAACGGTTCCAATCCCTAATTTGATTGTGTATTATTAAACTTTGTTTCTTTTTAGCCCGATAAAATTTACTATTGCATGATGAGCAAGAAGAAAATTTAACGTTGCACCAAATCCAATCTTATAAGAATTATTACATGATTCTAGAAAATAAATTTGTTTATTACTGAAAGAATCATAAGATTTTAAAGTAATTTTTTTTGATGGAAATATATTTTTTTCACAGTTACAATAAGTTTTAGAAGTGGTACAAAAGACACTTTGTGCATTCAAAGCATGTTTCAGGATGATAATATTTGGCCATTAGAAATGATTTTTTTTTAAAAAAAAGTATACTTAATAAATATTTATATATATGAGCGCTGTTCACTAGAAAGGGGAAATCTATTTTTTAGATCTGATCAAAAAATGAAAAAGTCACTTTTAATATAATATTCAGATATCTGGTCTATGCAAATTCCAATTCCTATAGCAAATGTCACCTGTGCGAATTTAACCATTTCAGATATCAATAAACCATACATCTATTGCATTTCATTTAGTAATGCTCTTTGGGATGATTCTAGGTTCGTTGGTATGTCCAATGTATATTTTTTGTGTAATGATCATAGTGATCTATAGTAAAAACCAGAATTTCGATCAAAAATCAATAATATTATTAAAAATTTCTATCCCTTAATCTGTAGATCATTTCCAGGCAAATTTGCCTGGAAAATTTTTATAATAGTAAATTGTAATTTTTAATAAAACTAGTACTT